TTATGCTTGTCCAAAGGTCACCACATCACTACCGTCTTCAAGATAAACATCATCATCCCACACACTTTCAATCAAAGCTTACTTTACCTCCCCTCACTCACTTACCAATTACCACCCTTCACTCGCAACGCCAATCCAACCAACATAACCTCCTTCCGCCCAGAAATCTTGGAACCGAGCACTACATATTACCCTTTACCCTAGAGCAAGCCGCAACTAATCTATACGACTCCCTAGCAACTAGCCACTCGAGCTCTGAACGGGAACTAAGAAGTTGTACACTCAAGACCCCAGACTAAATTCAAAGAAGCCAAAACTTACCAGAGCTAGTGAGAAATAACAGTCAGCTGGTCAATCAGATCACTTTAGATGCATGCGCTACCTAAGCCATCAACATCACCATCATCACTACGTATAACACAGAGGGTGGCTCGGGTGGTTGAGATCTAGTCAGTGGAAGGTTATGCAAGTGCTTCTGGATTTTTGTTGGGGATCAATCTACATTGAGTAGTTTTCGAGAATGATCTTCTAAGGGTCTTGTGGGAGTTTGCATACCGGTATACGCATATACGCATACGAGCAACGAGGTTCTTGAGTCTAGAATATCGGAATTTGAGTTCGCGGCTTTGATTCAATTGTTCGCGCACATCCAAACGGTTCTTCACTCCATGCACAGTTCGCACCTTATAGCGATACCGATACTTCCGTGGCTAAGTTTTGCTCTAACTACTTTTGCGCGATATTCTATAGCTAATGCCAGTGCTAGTGTTGATTTTCGTCTACTCCTCTCTTTTAGCTTTCCGCATTTTTGGTTGCTGTTTTATTAGTGTACGAGTATCTTCACCTCTCTTGCCCATTCACATTTAGCTTTTTCCTCTTTTAACTGTCTCTCCCCTTTCCACTTTTCCAAACCCTGGAAACCCACGCGTTCCAAGCCCCAAAATCCATCCCACGCACTTGGATCAAAATCAATTAATAACATCACAAACCCAACGAACCGGGGAACATGCTCACTGTTTCCCGGCCGGTAAGATCTTATGTGGGGTACGACAGTCCCACGAAAATTGGTCTCGTGGTGATAGCCATGAAGATCGTTGAGTCACGTGCGTCAGACTTAGGAAGTGCCAATGCGTTGAGGGTGAAGGTCTAGGTGATTTGTGGATGGAATGTGGAGGAAAGGACGAGGGGACGGTGATGCATGAAAAACTCACCGTTTGACAACATATATGTTTCAAACTCTGTTTTTGGCATGCTTACTATTCATTCGCTGCTTTTCCTCGATATTCTGCATGCAATCTGTCCGAATTGAATTTTGAGGGCTCAAGGGCCCAACGCATGAGTAGTACAATGTCTCAAGTGTCTCGATGTCTTGCTTCTTATCCCATACCATTCATTGACTAGCTTTTCATTAGTGGAGTAGAGTGGAGATAGGGTAGTGAGGTAAATAAAAACTTGCATGTATTTCCAATCTCGTGATTCGTAGCTCGTCGCTCGAATTTCTGAAAGTTGGGAATTGGGGCTGAGACTCCCGGATGACGAACTATTTCTTTTTTTGTTGCTCCTTCTTGGTACGACGGGATGGGTGGACTGTCCTGGATAGATGGGTATAAGTTGAGATGACTTATTCCAGGGGTTTAATTTTATAATCGTATAATGATTCAGCATTGACTTAACGGCAAAGTCTAGAATGTCATTCGGGTATGGTATTTTTTCAACTAATAATGTCACCCCCGAGAGTTTGAATGTCTCAGATTTAGGGTCAGCCGAAAGCTCCGATATTTGTGTTTTGGTAATCGATGCCCGAATCTTTGGGTAGCTCGAGGGTAGGACAGAATGGCACAAATTTTCGCCTGCGGAGGATAGGGGATAGATCACATAGTTCCCCAGGTAGAAAGTTCAGAGATGTTTGTCGTTTCATTTGGACAATGTACATTGTTATAAATACCTAGTATCTTTACTCAGTATTCTATAGCTAGTGCTAGTATTAGTGTTTATGTCTAGTGATGTATCTCTATTTCTCCGAACGAATAAACTCCTAACTTGATAATATCTAGCACAGTGAAACCAGTGTACTATACCAAGAATAGTCATCGCATTACAATCTTCTCATTCCTATTCACCTAGACTTTATTGCTTCCATGGCGCATGCTTATTGCAATGTAGCAAGACTCATATACTTTCGAGGCCTCATTTTTATTCAGATCAAAGAACAACTTCAATGGTTCGTTGTTCGAATCAGATAAAAACCCTAATTATTTATAAGTCTTGGATTTTATCAGGATACAAATGTTAGCCTGAAAAATCAATATTATCTTGAATAAATTTGCAACATATTTAGTTATGAACCCTACACACAACCACTCTTGATTAACATGTTCATAATTTAAACGAAAAAAAAAAGACCGACGTTATGTATCTATCTACCTCTGGAAATCAAACCTATCCCATCTTCCATTCTCACTACCCACCTGTAACAAATCTCTAACTCCTATCTACCTACCTGAACTATCTTTCCTAGTCATCCGATGTTCCTTCCGATGGATGTTCTCCCCCGAGTCCCCTGAAGTGGATAGCTCGGATGAATATCCTCCATTCCACTCTCTGACAAGTGAATAGGTACCTCAAGCGGCTTTCAGTATCAAGGAAGGAAGATTCGGAATAGAATCAGATTCGGAACATGGGAAACAGAGCTAAAGATTTGTTCTCAACTTCTGGAGTTGCGCACTACTGACATGGAGTGGAGTAGCAATTTGCTATCGTGCTTTTAGAACCGCTACATAGCGCAGCAGAAATGGGAGAATTGTGCAGTAATTGATAGTGCGTCGCCAAATAGTGATACGGTGCGCATTTTGACACTAGCCCCTGGTAAACAGAAAATCGGGCGAGTGAATTGAGCTTCTAGATCCAGATTTCCATGTTGAAATGGGGGCATATCGATTCGGTGGGTTTTATCTATGTTAAATTTCAATGCAGCACCATTATTGTGATTTAGTCCGCAGTGGAGAATGATGGTACTCGCTTCGTTGGGTAATGGATAAGAGTCGTCTAAATCGCTTGGAACAATACATCTTGATTCTCATATTATTACATCAATATCTACTTCGAGGTGGCAGTGTCCTTTTCTCTACAGCCGGAGTGTATTTACCTTCTCTTCCATGATTGAGACTCGAACACTGTAGTTCTTATACAGACAACGAGGGGTGAGGGTTGAGATTATTCTTAGTCCAATCACCACTCGTTTGATGAGCATAGCGAATCCTACAGCTAGCTACTATAAAGTTAAGTTTATCTGGTTGTGAATAGCTTATAATTATAGGGTTTAAAGCTCAAAGGTTTTGATAAGCTATTTCCAAGTCACAAAAGCTCAACCCAAAACAGACCTTTAAACTTTCAACTATATACATTCCATATATTCGATTATCAAAGATTCTTTAGGGGCTAGTGTATGTAGTTCCCGTACGGACTTTAGAAGAAGTCTGCCATTCGAGTCTTTAAAAAGATGAGGAAACCTCAGAGGGGGTTGAGATCGTGTATCGAGTTCTGGTATCACCAGATGATTGAACATCAGCCATTTTCATGTGGATAGTTCAAATGAAAGGATGAGTGGGGGGCGTTCGAAAAGGTAAGGGTGTGTAAATGGCGTTTGAGATAAATGCTATTATAGCTTTGTATTTTGCGAAGACGAATCCCTCAAATGTGTTTTGGTGAGAAAGGTTAAGTAGCAGGCGTGTTTTATCAAGATGAGATAAAAATCATTCTTTTCGAGTTGGTGGGCAAGCGAGGGTGATGAGTATCGAGGTATCTAGGTATCTAACCCTTACTGACTGGCATATCCAGGACTCCACAAAACGAAAGAGGAAATCGCATTTTGAGTGATTCCCAGCAGTATCATTACTAGTACTCTCCATGGAAGTGAACGAGAATTCCTGGCATCGGAGATGCAGAAGATGGAGATTAGTAAATATGTATGTGATGATTACATTGTATAGAGATTTTATAATAATTCAGGTTCCGACTTCTGAAGATACGTTGGCAAGATTGTGCCATATTGCAGACGTTTGAAAGAGCTGAGGTCTCCAAGATTCTGATGAGAATAGAAGGATAAAGTGGCATAATGGATGCCTGATCAATTTACATGTAGCTTGGTTGGGTGAGAAGGTGAATGAAGTTCTCTTCTCTTCCGCGACTTTGTTAACGACGTCTGATTTCCTCCGATTTTTGTGCGATTAATGTTAGAAATTTAATGGCTATTCTCATGGTAAGGGTTCTCCTCCTCTCGCAAGTCGTAATTGCTTAGTATAACAGGCGGAAATAGAAGGGGGGATGGCTATCGATGTGCTGGCTGTTTAAGAGGAAGCGCTTAGAGAAAAGATATTCTTCGGCTGTCAGGTCATATTTTTAGAAGAGAAACACAACTGTCTTTTTTTAAGTTCCTTCTCGCTGTGAATGTCTAAAATTGATAGTTCGTTTATCCATCTTCCCCTTTCAAGATAGATCTTTTGGCTTATCAAACAGGACAACTGAACAGAAGTAAGTTGTTCAGATTGCAATTGGGGAGAGAACACAGGCAGGAATGGAAATAACTTACCAAATTCCGTGTAGTAACTCATTTTCTCAAGGTATGGTATTTATATATCAACCCAACACCGCCTCGGAAATGTGTTCGTATTTCTTTTCCACACGTGGAGCTGCCGAGATATCACTAAGTTTATTTGTTTCGCTGGCTTATTATGAACTCTCGTTTAAGAGTCATCGAGCACAATATCAGGAGTGTATGGAAGTAAGATTTCAATAATAGTGTGAATTTAATTCAGTAATGACAGTGGTACAACTAGCTACGATATGACAGACATGATTCGAGGAGATCAAAAAGAAAAAGATCAATATGATAACCAGGATCAGGTTGCAGCGAGAAGTTTTGATTTACTCAGTGACACTGCAATAGCAAGTCCTATCGAAAACTGCACCGAATAGTGTCCACTGGAACGTTGAAAAGGGTTTCAACTAACTTCGACGCGGTAGCCCCCAAGTCTTCTGGGATCAATCTTGTGTTTACCATTGGTAGGTCCATCAAATGTAATATTCGGAGCGCCATTTCCAGGAGCACCACTTGAACAACGGTTATTTCTCATTCCTGACAACTCTTGAGGATCACTTACGACCAACAGATCAATTTGACTCCGACAGTAGCTTTAATTTCGATACCTTGAATATTGCTTCCAGCTTGTTAGCCAACGAGATTTGTTTGTTGGAAAGGTCCTAACTTACGGACTACCTTCGAGATGGTAGTTGGTGTTGATGTTTGGTTCATGAGTGCGGTCTCCGCCACCCTTAACGTCCCACTTGACCTGTTTTTCATGTTAATCTTGAGCTGTAACTCATAGAGAGAAGGGAAAGACAAGCTGCTGGCATACCCAAGCTGTGGATTGAGGTGTAATTGCATCGAAATCATGTGAATACTCTCGAGGCTCGACTCCGGTTGCAGAAGATTCGCTTGCCATCTTGAAAGGTGTATGAAGTGAAAGGAAGATTTGTAATCTTTGACTTTGAAATGTATTTGTTTATGAGTTTGGAATGCTCTGGAGAAGCAAGAGTGAATGGGTGCAAGTGAGGTATTTATGTGTTTTCTACTCGTTAATCTGTCGATCGTCCATTTCATGCTCAGTTTTGAGGTTGAACTAGCCGTGAGACTTTTCTGCAGTGACATCTCCTTTGAGGTTAAACTAACCGTGGGATCTTTCTGTAGCGATATCTCGTTCTGATGCAGTTTAAACACATGATTGTACTTGATTCGACTGAAGCGATCAGCTCAATGCAGAGTTGTGATGTTTTCCAAGCTTGCAACTAGGGATGCACATCAGTACACTACTCGGCGTCTTTGGGTATTTACCCTATTCTATAGCCGGGTAAAAAGCGGAAAATATGGTGGGCACTTGAGAGATCTGAAGTATATGTTATACAATTATCCTATAGTTTTTATCTAAGAATAAGATTACATCCAATTATTAAATTGATTGAAGTGTTATCACAGTGAAATAATCTAATAACTCATAACTGATTACGTGGAATTTTATTTTCTCATTAAGACTCTTAGATCTTATGAACAGGATTTTCTAGATTTGTTACTTTTCGACCATGTTCCATTTCACTAAAAATGGGTGGAGTCTAATTCTGATTGCAATCACTTTGAAATCGGTTGTGAAGCACTAATAAGCCATTTTCATAATTATTTACTTCATGTTACATGCCACATAGCACTGTCAATCACACCTACCGATGTCATATCGCATATTGAATGGTGTGTATGACTCGTACCAGTCTCTATGAGACATAATGTTATTAATGATAGCAGAAAAACATACTTTATGGGGCAATGAGCACATATCTGTGCAGCTAGTAAATACTGCAAGACATCTTCAGCTCTCTCGAAACGCCCAGAATAGTAGTACAGTTGCCTGTGATATTTTAGACGGCAAAAACCCTTCTGAAGATTCCACTGATAGATCTCAGATTGCCTGGATTAAATAGCCTTATTGCATCAAGATAAATCTATACACGGCCCCATACTCATTTTTTGGAGGAACTTTTGCTACAGATTCAAAGCTGATTTCATAGCTCTATAATCAATTGAAACTAGCATGCAAATGCTTGGATGAAGTCTCTCGAGTAAACATGAAACTAGAGGACTCACTACAGATGCATTATAGACAACACTCATTTTGCGAACACCATGGACCCAAGACGACTGCGGGGCAGTGTTGTAATTAATATTTTCCATATTTTGTATACACCCCACTTTAATAATACGTATTAAATTCTTGAAATATATTTTAATAATTATTACTAAATTGAATATTTTAATAATATTAAATATTATTAATAATATTTACAAATATAGAATTTCTATTGATATAGAATTTATTGGATTATTTAATTTTGATATCCTTGCTATATTTTATTAATATTAAAATACTCTCAAAACATTTTTTTATAGTGTTTATTTAAATTCAATTAAAATTTTTAATAATTTTAATTTTTTTATTAATTTTGAAGTATTTCAATACTCTCAATAAATATTAATATATTTTTTATAATGAATTTGATATTATTGGAGCTCAAAAAGGTATTGAAATTATAATAATTTTATATCTTTTTTTATATTTAATTTAAATATTATTTATATCAAAACTATATATCATTAATCTTTATTTCAATTTTATCACGGAGGCAATAGCTAGGTCTAATGGTCACTTTAATCAGGAGGTAGGTATGTAGAATAATAATAAACTAGATTAACTTAAGATATAATTATAATGATTATATCTTCTTTATATACCCTGATTGAGCGAGGTACTTGTCTAATTAGATATATAGGACACATAAATGAAATGAATAAAATAGTATTAGTAATTATAGGAGTGAGTACTCCGAAGGAGTACCGGGATTAGTGCTTGTAAGGTTATATTATACGGTGACTTTCGTAACAAATTTCAATTTAAATCTTATTTTATTATGTTTTCTATTTATATCTTTAATATTGTAAATAATATTAATTCTATATTTTATAATATAAATAATTTGATATTATCTTTATTATTATCAATATCTAGTTTTTAAAAAATATTTATATATTTTAATTCTCTTTTTTTTATTGAATTTTTTAATATTTAAATTAATCAGTATTTTATTTTAGTTTGTTAATGATGGGTATAGGTGTGGAAATATATATTGGATAAGGATTCTTAAATAATTTATTTCGATTTAAATAATTGTATATAATAAAGATATTATTATTACAAAATTTAATATTTCGAAATTGATAAAATATATATTATATCAATCTATTTCTAATCTTAATATTAAATTAATAAATTATTCTCTTAAAAAGAGTATTAATGTTACGGGGCAGATAGGCAGAATCAGGAATCTATATTCAATAGTGCTAAGAATAGTAGGTATAGGGTGTAGACTAAGATATAGTTTAAAAAGTTATAATATAGGATCTTCTAATATGAAGATATATAAAATTTTTATTTGTAAATTAGTCTAATAAAATCTAGCTTATTATTTATTAATTATATATATTTATATTATAATATTATTCCCTTTCTTTAGGTCAAGTTTTAATAAAACAGTAAGTTATAGTTCATAATTTTATAGATAGATAGTTTGGTTTAGATAAATCTAGGTTTATTAGAATATTTATAATGGAAATTGTAGATTAATTTCTGTATATCTTTCAAATAGCTAGCGGGTTCTTTAATTGGCTTATTGTAGTTAATTTAGTAAATAATATATTTTAGGTAAGGTTTTTTATAATCTCTTTTTTCTTAATGGGAGTTTAGAATTTTGGTGGCTTTGAAATACTTTAAGCTATTGATTTCTATAAAAGATGGCAGTGGGTTATATTATCTAGGAACAGAATTATTATATATAAGGTATAACAGATTAATATAAAAAATAGAATAAATTCTTATAAAAATAGGTAATTCTAGTTTATAAGTGTAGAGATTTATTAGACTTAGAATTTTGAATAGCTTAAAATTCTTTTAATTAAATTTCTTTTATAAATATAGAATTTTGATATTTCTAGTATTTAGTTAAATCAGGTTACCAAAGGTATATTAGTAAACAGAGGAATAATAAAAATCAGTATTCTTTGAATATCAGGTTTGGTTAATGGTTAATTCTGTTTTCAGATATAAAAAGATAACTTCTATTTTGAAAACAAATTCCTTAATATTTTTTATAATAAAGTAATCGTTTTCGGATAGAGATAGTTTAAAGTCCAAATAAGAATAAAATCTATAATTGAAGAAGAACAGAATTATTTAAATATTCTCAAACTAGATATTATTAATAAAAAATTCAATAAATAAAAATCACTCTATTTAATCATTTTGTAGATAAGTTATATACAATCTGAAATATTATTCCAATATTATATTAGCTTTTTTAATTTGTTTTTTGATTTTAGGATGGTAAGTGATAAAGAGTCTAATAGATATTCCTAAATATTTATAAATATATTTCCAGAATTCAGATACAAATTGAGCTTTATAATTAGAAATAATTATTAAAGACAAATTATGAAACTTTTAGATATTCTTTTAAAATAGGTGGGCGATTTTTTTAGAGTTATAAATATTATAACAAGATAGGAAATACTTTATTTTAATCAGATAATTGATTATTATTATGATAATATTAAAGTCAATACTTTCAAATAAATATATAATGAAATCTATTGAGATATCTTATTAAGCTCTTTGTAGGATTAGAAATGGATAAAGAACTCCTTCCTAACCTCTACGATTTGGGGCAGTGCAATAACAATTATAGCAATTACAAACCCATTGTATAACATAATCGTAGTAGCCAGGCCAATAATAATCTCAGGATAATAATTCGAAGGTTCGGGTATGATGCGGGTGACTAATAATAAAGAACTTGTAGTATAAACAGAGCAAATAAGCTTTCAAGAAATCATAATTAAGAACATATAGCTTTCCTCAATAATATAATAAACTATTGGAAGTTGTGGTACATATACTATGCTACTATACATATATCATTTTCATTTTATAGTTAGATTTTACTTTAGTATAATTAATCTATATAGTTAATATTATATGTATTTTATTGGTCTGTTTTTTTATTGTGAATAGGTTATGAGTCTGATAGCTTTGTAATAAGATTAAGGTTGAAAGTTTTTTGAATAGTTTATATTGTTAAAATAGAGATTAATAATAAGAAGTTTTTATATAATATAATATTAATATACAAGGTGTATATAGTAAATAGATTGTTGAGTAGCGATAATAAAATAATTATTTATATTATGCTTTTTTTTTAAATACAATAACAAAGTAATTATTTATATTGTATTTTTTTTTTAAATAAAAAAACTATGAGTTATTATTGAAAGAATAATTTATTTTAATTTAATATTGAAGAATATTATTAATTATATAATATTCGATATTATTTCAAAAATTATTATTTACAAATTAAAATTTATTATTTTCAATTATCTTGTTTTGAAAAGAATTTCTTTTTGTAATATTAATATATTTAAAACTGGGGAAGTTAAATCAAAACAATTCTTTTTTTTTTCAATTTTTTTATTTCATTATCAAAATATATATAGGTTATTGATATAAGTTTTTTATTTATAAAATCTCAAAATAAATAAAAATATTGAATCTAAGGATTACTCTAAATATATTTTTCTTTTTATTTAAGAGAATTATAAATACTAAATTTGTTAAATAAAAATTCAATTTTAAGAAAAAAGTTGGTTTTATATATACAAGAAAATATTATAGGAATATATATAAATTGTAAATATTAATAGATTAGCTAAGGATTTTGAAAAACTTTAAGTTTTCAATAGTAGCGGTAGTATTATAATAAAAATTCGACTCAATATTAATAAAAAACCATTTTTTTTAAAAACGATATTAGTATATTATCTTATATCTATTATTTATTATCTAAT